GGTAATAACCTTCCCCCCCCTCTTCAATAAAAAAGAGCCGCACCTTTTGCTGCCAACCGATCCCGCCATCCATCCTTAAGTGTGAATAAAAGAGAGAGAGAGAAGCTTAAGGCGGTAGAAAAAGGAAGGAAGGTATCACACAACTCTCCTTCATATTAAGCACGGCCTTTTTTTTGTGTTCTTCTTTGGGCTTCCTCGTGAAAGAGGAAAAGAAGTGTAAGCCCCTTGACTTCTTCTTGGTGGCTTGTGGAAGAAGAGATATTGGGTTTATTTCTCTTGTAAGTTTATCTTTTTCGGTGTATCTCAGTGTAAAGTTTCTTCGCTGTATTTCGATGTAGAGAGAGAAGAACAGAGAGAGAAGCAAAGAAAGCAACGAAGTGAGAGATTTCTCTTGTAAGTCGAGACGATCGACTAGTGTAAATCAAGTAGTAAAATTCTCTGCAACTCCGTGGACGTACGCAATTTGTCGAACCATGTTTTTTATGTGAAAGCTCAGGCATAAATTTTTTTTTTTCTTCCTGGCTTTTCACATTTAAAAAAAGGATTCATTTAGTCGACTCTACTTAGTGGGATAAAGACTTATTGTTGTTGTTTTTGTATAAATCGTTTAAATTAATTGGTCATGTAGGTGAAAATTAGTTCGGGATAGATACATGATTTGAGATAAAGTGCTCTTTCATCTAAACTATGAAAATTATGGGGTCAATTTGACTTCATCTTTTTCAAAACTAAATTTTTTAAAACGCCCTTCCGAAGCGAGCAACAGGATTTCAATTCCGATGACTGACAACTTCTTACGGGCAAACCCCACACCAAAAATAGTGCCGACACTCACGCCTTCGCACGATCGCGAGCAGTCGCGACTCCTGTCCGCCAGCACCCGCTCCCACCTCTCCCTAACTGCTTCCGCCTCCAGTTTCGCGATTGAAGCTTCTCCCGCCTCTTCTAAATAGAAGAGGCGCACCTTTTGCTGCCAACCGATCCCGCCATCCACCCTTAAGTGTGAATACAAGAGAGAGAGAGAAGCTTAAGGCGGTAGAAAAAGGAAGGAAGGTATCACACAACTCTCCTTCAGATTAAGCACGGCCTTTTTTTTGTGTTCTTCTTTGGGCTTCCTCGTGAAAGAGGAAAAGAAGTGTAAGCGGTAGTTTCTTGCAGCTGAAGGAAGAAGAAAGAAGAAGATTGTTCTCCCTTGACTTCTTCTTGGCGGCATGTGGCAGAAGAGAAATTGGGTTTATTTCTCTTATAAGTTTATCTTCTTCAGTGTATCTCGGTGTAGAGAGAGAAGAAGAGAGAGCAAGGAAGTGAGAGATTTCTCTTGTAAGTCGAGACGATCGACTAGTGTAAATCCTCAAGTAGTAAAATTCTCTGCAACTCCGTGGACGTACGCAATTTGTCGAACCACGTAAATTTGTGTGTTCCATTGTGTTACTGTTTTCTGGTGTGAATTTTCTCGTTTTATTTTTTCGCTTCGTCAAAGATCGTTCTTCTATTATTATATATATACCACAACAAAATAATTATGAGAAATAGTGAAGATTAATAACCATCAAGATTGTTTGATGATCGACAAAAGTGTTCGGATTATAAAGGTTGTTAATATTAATTTATGATGGATAACTATTGTGTGTGAGTGAATGTGAATATCGACATGAGTTACTCATAAGCAATGGGGTTTGCATATGACATATTGTCAATATTATAAGAGTAATGTTAATTTAGTGATGGAGTTATTTCTCTGATTTTTGTTTCATTTATCTTATGTTATTTTATAATTTTCTTCTCAAGAAGCCCCATTTCTATGGTCATTATGTCACCATCGTTTGAGGATTAAAGTGATGATGAACATGAAAGAGCAACTAGAGGAACAAAAATTGTAATCAATTGGATAAAGAGTGCAATGACATAAAAAATTTCTCATAAATTAATCCTCAAAGAATGAGTTAGGCTCAAAGGTTTGAAAGAATGAGAAGATCCGCATTCCTAACCTATCTAAATCAATGAAAAAAAAAACTTATGACAATCTCTCGGTGATAAACATATAATCTAATTAATTTTTCTAGGGGTTTAGAAACATACCGATAAAAACGTGCTTCGCTAATTAATTGCATCTTTAAGGAAAACCGAAAATATTTTGTTATTAAAGGAATTCTACTTGCATTATAAAATATCACTATTGGTCATCTCAAAGGAATGGTATTGACATTCCAGTAAGGGTGTATTACGTTTCAAAGTTAAATCAAGCCATTGGATATAAATTGAATTATTATATCCAAATGGTTGTCTATTCTACAATGAAGAGTCTATGAAAAAATCATCAAGCAAATATTTCAATAAAATATGAATGGGCTCAAAGTAGTATCAAAGATATTTAGAAAAATATGTAGAGCTAGTTAAATTAAAAGAAGTTAAGATTTCATGGATTTGTTCTCCTGAGTTGTCAGCTCCAAGTCTACTGGACACGGAGATAAACAATCCAACATAGCGTGGGATTCCATATCGAAAGCTCATGAATTGTGTCATCCAAGAAACATTTTAAATTTAAGAGAAAGAGACTTAGAGTATATGTATAAGCTAGAGGTTTAGTGTTTTGGGTTTAGAGTGTAGAAAATTTCCTAGGAATAAAAAGGATCATCAATATTTTAGAGTTTATGTCAGGAGAAATGGATATCATTTGATTATATAATAATTAACTAATCCCAAAAACTACTCAATATATAATTCGATGAATTTTTTAACTTTTATAACTCTTAAGACCTAAACCCTAAACCCTAAACCTTAAAATCTTGCCGGAATAACAATAGATTTATAACATCTAAAATACATATAGAAAAAAAAAATTATAGACTTAGTTGCCTACAAAATAGAGTTTAGTATACAAACACATGACTTGCAATAAATAAAATAAATCTTATCTAGTTAGAATGATAAGCTAGCAAGCATAAGGAAAAAAAGTTTAATGTACTTTACCTCTAATTTCCTCTATTGTAGACATGATTGTCTATAGTAGATCACATACACTCTTAATCCAATGAATATGTCCATAGTCTGCATCTCACACTTCAACACGGTGCTTCAGTCACTCAAAACTCCATATAAGACGTTTGATCCCTT